AATCATCTTAGTTTAATCTGCTTATCTATGCATGGATGCCCTTGTCACCTTCCAATGACTGTTTAGTGATTCTTAACCCACTGTTCAGATCATCAGCAATGCATGCTGGTACTTTTTACATCTCTATTTACATTTAGCTCTGTGCTACAGATCACTTTTGTATAATAGCTGCCTTCTGAGGCTACATTTCAGGCATCTGATAAAGGGGTGTGTGGTCAATAAAAGCTTATGAAAAATAAAATTTGTTCATCTTCAAGATTCCTTGTCATCTTTACATGTTACAGCTACTCTTTGGGAAAATCCTTGGAAAGCATCACTGGGGATCTAATTGTAACCTGTAAAAAGCACCTCTGTTACTGACTCTTGTAGAAGTGTAAATCTATTTAACACAATGTGAGGTAGACAAAGCTATTTATTGATTGAATTCTGATGCTTAGCATAAATACATTGCGGCTAGAGTAGGCCCATCGAATCAGTGGGACTTTGGTGAGTTAATTCTCGCATAAATCCCTTTTATTCAAAGGGCTTACTCTAGCTGTAAGTTACCATGCTAAGTAACAGGATTTCAGTCATTGTTTTTGCGGATAAATATATATATCCCCAGCTGTTTAATAATAAATTTACCAGGGCTTCTTAATCCTCATAAGATAACTCTTTCATCTACCATCTCTCCCTAATCTTATGTGTTTATATTCCCTTGGCCCAGACAGTGTCTTTTTTAACCAATTTTTCTTGGCATAGGGAAACCTTCATAGTTTCAATATAAACTGCAGAACTGGGGAAAAAAGGTACTTTGAAGTTTTCGGTTTTGATGGGTTTACTGATATTACATGCCATCTATGGTGAATCTATGAAGAAGTGGCCTCCACAATGTCCTACTAATAACACTTCCGCTTAGTTCCTGCAAACGTAAAGCTGTGGCTTTCTTTATACTGTATAGTCAATACTGTTGTCTTTTACTTTTCCTACTACCTTCAACTTTTTCTAGCATTATTGTTTTTCCAGTGAGTCTTATATTCTCATGATATGTTCAAAGTAACAACAGTCCCAGTTTCATCATAATTTAGCCTTGATTTGATGAATCACTTGTTTCTCTTCCTGTAAGTCCAGGGTATCTGCAAAACTCTCCTCCAGCACCATATTTCTGACAAATTAAATTATTTTCTGTCAATGTTTTCCACTGATCTAACTTCTATACATAGCACTTGGGAATACCATTGTATGGACAATCTTGGCCTTTGCCTCCAGTGACTTGTTCTTACACTTGAGGGTCTTTTATCATTCCTTCACAGCTGTCCTTCCAAGCCACAAAATGCTTCTTCAGATTCTTGTCTGTAGTCTCAATCTGGATTAATTACTGAACCAACACATATTTCTTCCCAAAAGTTTCACTCCTCTGGCATGTGAATCTATTCCACCTTTCCATATTATATGTACACCAACAGACTGAACAGATAGGCAGATAAAATACAGCCTTCTGTAACACCTTTGCCTATGGGAAACAATTCTCTTTTTCCATATTCTGTCCAAATGCTACCTTCTTGTCCAGAGTACGGCTGGACAATCAAGTGTTCAAGCATACTTTTAAAACCATCCATTGTTTCTCATGATCTACACAGTGAAAAGATTTGTGTCAGTCTATAAAGAATAAACTAATATTCTAAAATTCTTTGGTACACTCCAGTAGCCAATGTTTGTTTGTGATATGATCTCTAGTGTCTCCATCTTTTTGGAATCCACCTTCAACATCAGGTATTTCTCACTCCATATCGGGTAAAAGTCTTTGTTGCAACAGCTTGAGCATCCTTTGCTTCCACAGGAAATTAGTGTAATGGTCTTGCTTCATCTAAATGCATGTTACACTCATCTCATATTTGGACTATACATTAACAAACCATTATTTCTACTAAGAATTAAATCTGGAAATTTTATTTTATTTGCATATTTGTTAATATTAATTATTAGAGCACAAAAATGCAAGTAAAATTCAAGCAGATCTTTTGGTAGGTATTTATTTCCAATTCCTTCAGAGAATAATTTTAAATTTGTTTTGAGGAAATCTGTTACATCTTACAGCTTTCTCAGAAATTGCTTCATTCCATAAAGCTGTACTGTATGTTACATTTCAAGGACAAAATCATTGTTGTTCGTATCGAGTTGTATAAAAAGCAGAAAATGCTTTTTATAGACATGTCATCTTTATCCACAGATTCTGACAAGTAGCAGACAACATAGTTACAACGGACTACTTAGCTCTTTTAAAATCAATAACACATGCCTGAGGACAAGGGAAGACATTCACCACAACGTCATAGCTAATGTTTTAATTTTCTAATCCCTGTCTCAGTTTCAGTGCTCCTGGATCACTGAATGAACTGTAGATTTACAGACACAGGAAACAATAGTTTTACTGTTAAGAATGAAGAGGAAAATTCAAGTTTATGGTACAGACTATTTAGAAATAAAGCAAAGTTATGTGCACAAGGACAGGCATGTTAGGAGCCACCTTGGTACACTACAGTGAGGCACAGAATATAGTTAAAATGATACTTTTTGTTTCTCAAGTCCTCAAAATCTGCTTTAAACATCCAAAAAGTGTTTACTGTAACTTATTAGGCATTTGGCTTTTTCAGCCTACTCCACATTGTCTTTCTAATGTGTGATAATTTTGTTTTTTAAATAGGGGGGCACCCATACTCAGGAAAAGGGATTATTGCTTTTGCTCATACAGTATTTTTAAAAAGCTCTTCGCAGTGAAGTACATAGTTTTGAAAGAGATTATTTGGATCTTAGGAAATTATAGTGCCTGCATCTATTAAATTACTTGCAATTGCAATTCCTGCTTTATTGTTCTTTGTTTATTTTAAAATGTCAAGGACAAAAATTCTTAAAGAATAAAATACAGTAATGCCTTCTGGTCTTTGCTGGGGCCATGACAAACATTTCAGAACAACACTACGAATAAAACAGCCAAATTCTTCCTAAGGAAAGGAGATGAAGAAAAATGTAAATTCAGATGTCCATTTTCAAATCTCAGGCTCAATAGAAATGATAAGAACAAGATCGCAGAATGTGCACCATGTGGATGTATTTCTAGCAGCAGTTCAATGTAAGCAGTTTTGCACAAGGCAACCAGTAGGTGGAGCAGATAACATAATTTATGACTTGGTAACGTTGGCATAGATTCTGCAGCCAGTTTCTTCATAATTACAGGGATCATGAAGAAAGAATTTTCTTCAAACAAAGGAAGGCTTTAGATGTGTTAGGTGTTACTTGACTAGTTATTGAAACCACCGATAAACGAAGAACGTTGATTAAAAGCTCAATATTTCATAAGGATAAAGTTTTAGAGCTTGTCATTTATTTCTCCAGGCATCTTTCTCTAGCAACTTGAGTTTTAATCAAAATACTATTCCAATTCTATTTTTAACTTCTTTCCATACCAAGTTTATACCAGTATTAGGCACCTTGGGAAACTAACCTATAAAGGTATGCAGCAAATGTATAAATTTTAATACATAAGAATGTTAATACATAAGAAAATGAACATCATTTGCATAGTACTGGACTTGCATTAATGATCTGCATTAACTTGACAATGCATGTGGGATACACTGCTATGCTGCAACACTATTTGTGCATTTTGGGAGGGCTGAGACATGAAGTGCCACTTGTCAAATAACATCTCATCGAGCACACCTTATTTCAGGCAGGGACATTATTTTTAAATGCATACTCCAAAAAAGTAAGCCAATTTAATTGTATATTGCATCAAGGTTGTTCAGTACAATTTGTGATCATGACTGTGAGATTTCCATTTTCCAAATTAACCTGAAACAGTCTCATGTTCTGTCCTAAATGAAGTTCATTTTATAACTTCTGTAGACTGTTTTAAAATTAGTTTTAAAACAATGTGAAATCTCTTCCCAGAGATACTGTTTCTGAGAGTAGATAAATTACTCATTCTTAATAATACCCATATCCTGTCTTTTTCCCCCTATTTCTTGATAAACAAAACTTGATTTCACTAAATTTACAATTAAAATAACTAATTTCTACTAATCGTTTCACTCTTCTATAATTAATTGCCATGCAGCTTCGGTAAACAAATTCTAGCAATGCCTATTCATGACTGACATGACAGAAAAATGCTAATTTGCCTGTTGCAAAATCATCTGACATTCTATGTTTGATCTCAGAGTGAAAGAATGGCATTTATCCAGAAGTGATCACGTGACTAAATAAAATGTGTAATCATCAATAATGAATATGCTTTTAAATCCGAAATAATTCTGCTTGCCTTCCCTATATAGATGTTCATATAAGTAGATACATATTGCAGGCAAACAAGGACTTATTTGCACTGATGATCATAAGTAGGGATTAAAAGGGCGAAACACCTGTCATACCACACAGCTTTTCAGACTTCAAACAAATATTCTGACAAGAGTAAATAGATCAGTTAGAATACATTCAAAAGTAATGGCTGCAAGAACATAATCAAGATAAATTTGCTGACCCAGGAATATCTTCCTTTAAAGTTTTCAACAGATAACTCACACTAACAAGCTGTTTCAAAACTGAGCAGACAAAGGTAATTCTGATCCAAACATTAGCTCAATTAAAACGGAAAAAATGAACCCTCTCTTTGGCTTAATAACTTGTTAGTTCTTGACAAGTGAGACAACACAACAATCAGCCAGTCAAAATGAGTTTTTAAAGTGAGGTTATGCCCTTCGTGTTGTGTTATCACAGTGGCAGATCAAACTGCTGACTTGGACTCTTTCTGCCAGCCGCGCTGATGCCGCCTCTATGAAGCTGCTGTCACGCAGCAGTCATGGTACCTGCTCTCGCCTATAGAAATGCACTAAATTGAACTCGAAGTAGTGTCTTTGTGATATCTTTTCAACAAGTCATGTCCCATTCAGCCTGCTAGTTTATCTCTGTCAAGCTTGGGGCCCCAGTGGTTTGCATGAGCTGTCAGGGACAGGTACACCAACCTGCTCAGTGCTAAGGAGGTAATGCATCTTTCGGGCTAGGTAATCCTTTTTCTTTTCTTCCCTTTCAAGAGCTTTTTTCGCCTCTTCTTTCTCCTTCATCTCTGCAAACTCGTCCAGTTCTTTCCTGCATCAAAACAATTCAACTGATTACAGGATCAGGAGGGAAAATATGCCTTAAAACAGTCTCATAGCCTATTTTTCTTTGAGAGGATATGCTGGCACTGTCCACTGTTTACTGAAATCAACAACACCAGGATCTGCTTAGCACATTTAGCAATGCAGGGCTCGTACTGTTAGAACAAAGGCATTAAATCCACATTCTGCCCATGTGCTACAACTGATCTTTTTGCAGCATTTACCTACAAGCAAGTTTTAACTGAATAAGTGGGAGTTTGAGGCTTCATAGTGAAGTAGGTTTGTATGTGGAGAAATGAATTAACACACATCCTTGTCTCTAGCTTGTGCTCAGTTCTGAAGCCAAATCAGCAATGTTCTAATTTCTGAACATTATTTAAGAACAGAGAGCTGCAAAGATACATTTTGAGTATATGAATATATGCATGATGTGGTAAAGATTTGCAGCCACCCTATAATAACTACTTAAGTGTATATCACCACCCACAAGTACAGCATAATTGCCATGCTGGGATAAGTCAACAGTCTTTCTAATTTCAGCATTCTTTTCATGGGAGGGCCCAAGCAAGGAAAGCTGTAAGCAAGGAAATACCCATCATTACTTCTTCTGAAATATTTTCCTGTTTTCCAAGATACAACCCTACAACAAGTACAGAAATAGTGGGATTGCTTTTGGAGAAAGGATTGCACCAATAACCAAATACTATATGTTTATTGAGAGGGTACCATAACTAAATGATAAGTGTCAAGTAACAGAATTAGGAAATATTTGTCCTAGAAGTCTGGGAAAACTGCTATGCATCAGAATAGATAAGACTGGGTTAGATAAAATAATGATCTGATTCAGTATAGGACTATGATTGAACACATATTTCACGGAGAGTAAAATTTAAACAGTTAGGCAAGAGAAACCCTCCAGAAATGTTCTGTCCTGTGAAATTGCTCCTGTTTTCTATTTAATTATTGTATTAAACCTACTGCAAATAATTGAAGACTTATAAAAACATTTCTGAAATTAAATACAATTACATAACATCAATAGTAACAACATATTACGGTATGCCCTTCCCCCCATCTATTCCACAGTAGAAGTTAGCCTGATTAACATTTGTTGTTACTGGTATTAAGAAACAGCTAATTCAAATTAACCTTGCATGTGAAAGACATAAATTTTGTTCAGTGATGTATGTAGATTTAATAAATGTTAATTAGGTAAGTTCTGACCTTTTTCTGGGCACCTTACATAAAATATAGCATTGAAAATATTTCTGTTCCTGCAGGGTAAATATTTATATTACTTCAACATACAGTATTCCAAATCAATTAAACATCCGCAGATGCAATCCACACCCCACTGAAGTTAACTCCCATCAATTCTAACATTACTGGCTCATATCTAGTATAATGCTTAATAGCAGTGATCCAAGAACACAAAGGAAGCAAGAAAAAAAAGAAATGCATTTATGTATGTACTTGGAAGAGCACCAACTTCCCCAAATCTACATTCCTCTGTATGATACTGCACACAGCCCAGACAGCATCATGGTTCTCAGGAGTGACCTTTCAGAGAGTCAAGGAGCTAGAGCTGGAACAGGGATCCCGAAAAGCCTCCGTGCACATGTGGAACACCATGCACAGCCTTTTGGATCTTACCATTCTATTCAACAGGAGGTTATTAATGTAACTTAAAATCACATTGGTCACAATCCTGTTGCATAAAATTATGCAGGTGCAACCCAGATCAGGTGCCAGAAATATTTAATTTAAAGTAATGAAATTCTTCTCCCCATTTTCATGCATCCCAATAGCTGCTGCTGCAGATTGGGACTGCTGCCAGTGACCCAAGGGTGATTTTTGACTGTTAGAGGCTTCCTTTTATCTTTATCCCAAGGCTCTCTAGGACAAAAGGGATCCGCAGAACTTGAAAGATTTAATTCTTTTAAATTAAATATTTTTACTGCTCAATCCATATTACAACAGCATAAAAATGCCCGTTGTTTGCCCATGAACACTGCAAACTCAATTTATTCATTTTCATTTCATTGTATTTACTGCGTTGTATTTATATGCCACCTTTCGTCCAGAACTATGGCTCAGACAACACTGAAGCAGAAGCGAACAATATGGTGAGAGGCTTGTGGAATAAGGTAAAAAGGATGAACCCAAAACATGCTGTAAAGTCACCTCAATTTACCAAGCTTGTGAGAAGTGGTTCCCACTGGATCACAGAGCTATTCAGATAGCCATTAGAACTATTTGTCCTTCCAAAGAGTGGTTCAGTTGAAGTCTACCTATGGAATACTGTGGTTCAAATGTGTAATGTAGAAATGATAGTTCTCTCTCTCTCTCTCTCCCTCTCTGTATATATATAAGAGTCTCCTCCAGCACCACAATTCAAAAGCCTTCTTTATGGTCCAGCTGTCATTTCCATACATCGCTACTGAAAAAACCATAACTTTGATTATGTGGGCCATTGTTGGCAGGGTGATGTCTCTGCTTTTTAAGATGCTGTCTAGGTTTGTCATCGCTTTCCTCCCAAAAAACAGGCGTCTTTTATTTATTTATTTATTTATTTATTGGACTTATACACCGCCCCATAGCGCTACAAGCTCTCTCCGGGCGGTTTACAATTTTTAATTATGTGGCTGCTTTCACCATCTGCAGTGATCATGGAGCCCAAAAAAGTAAAATCTGTCACTCCGTCCCTATCTCCCCCTTCTATTTGCCAGGAGGTGATGGGACCAGTGGTCATGATCTTAGTTTTTTTGATGTTGAGCTTCAGACCAGTTTTTGCACTCTCCTCTTTCATCCTCATTATGTGGTTCTTTAACTCCTCCTCACTTTCTGCCACCAGAGTGGTATCATCTGCATATCTGAGGTTATTGCTATTTCCTCCAGCAATCTTGATTCCGTTTTGGGATTCATCCGGTCCTGCCTTCCACATGATGTATTACGCATATAAGTTAAATAAGCAGGGAGACAATATACAGCCTTGTCATCTTCCTTTCCCGATTTTGAACCAATCCGTTGTTCCTTATCCAGTTCTAACTGTGGCTTCCTGTCCCACATATAAATTTCTCAGGAGATAGATAAAGTGGTCAGGCACTCCCATTTCTTTAAGGACTTGCCATAGTTTGCTGTGATCCACACAGTCAAAGGCTTTTGCATAGTCAATGAAGCAGAAGTACTGTAGATGTTTTTCTGGAACTCTCTGGCTTTCTCCATTATCCAGCGCATGTTAGCAATTTGGTCTCGAGTTCCTCTGCCTCTTTGAAATCCAGCTTCTACTTCTGGGAGTTCTCGGTCCACATACTGCTGAAGCCTGCCTTGGAGGATTTTGAGCATAACCTTGCTAGCGTGTGAAATGAGTGAAATGTTTAGTAAATCACACATGTTCTTATTTCAAATGCACAAGTCAAACGTAGAATGAAACTGAAATAAATTAAGGAGAGGCGAGGATGTATTGTTCTTTTTCAATTCCTGGATATATTTTTTTGTTGCCGTTTACTGTTAAAGGTTTCTAATACAATATTTCATACAAGGTTACTTATGAAACATTCTGACGTTTAAAAATCACCATGCTATGCTTTTGCAGCAGAGTAATTTTTCCCCAACATAAGATTAAATTGCAAACTAAATGAATTACTTAGAGTGGCATGGCCCCCATTTTGCCATACTTCTCTTGAAAATTGCTTATTAATATGAAAAAAGAAGTTGGAAAATAGCCTGTTTTACTTTATGCATAGTGTTTGGAGTCCTCCGAGCTTGTAGATCTGGACTTGCTGTGCTTTTTAGATTGTGTTGGCAAGCGGGTAAACTGACCTGTCTGACCTGCATCGCAAGGCTATTATTAATCGCTAAGTAACCTGGTAAAGCCAAACAAATTTGTTTCCACTGAAAGGATCTCTATCTGTGTCTGAGAATTTGTGCCGTACCAAACCAACCTCATTAACTGTGTCCACTCCTGACAAAGAACTAGGAGTTGGAGGGACTGGTGACCTTTCTTTGTCCTTAAGGTGTAGATATCAGAGCCATAAACGTGAGCAAAAAAGCATGTTCACAACAGTATTATTAAACATAAATAAACATACATTCTCAGATTACACTTGTCAACATTGGTGCACATGTCTTCTATTTAGTAATTACTCTTTTTCATTGCCAATTTCTCTGGTCAGCCTCAGTGTCATAGAAAAAAGCTGACAAATTATGAATATATGTGTGCATATTTTTCGTTTTTTTTTACACCGTATCCTCAGCAATGGTAAAATCTTGCATCCTTCAAAAAATGAGAAAGTATTGACCAAGACAGAAGAAAAATATGTATTTCAATTTTAACATGAATTTAATTATAAGAACCAAAAAATCTTCAATCATCTAACTAATTTGATTATAATATGTATATTTTAGAATGAATGATTCATAATTTGGAAAAATTAAATCTCATTTATGATGTTTGTTGAAATATGGTAAATGGTAATTTACAATTTTCTATAATTTTATTGCTTCAGAACAATTGCCATGTGTCTTGAAAATATTATTCCTATTTTTCAGTATCTGGTTCTAGTCTATTAATTCTTTCTCTTTATGTGGATTCCAAATATTTGCTATCTGTGCCTCACAGTTACCATGAAAACCACAGACTGAAGGAGAGAAAGTACATATTTTTAGAAATAAATAAATGTGCAAACCAACAACCTGAATTTTTTGTATTGTAATATAGTACTTTTGTACTAGGACTACTGAAACCTCATCTTGGAAATGCCTTGACAATATATTGTTGATGGACACCCAAAAAGATAAAATGCACCTCTCTTAAATAGCATTTCAGTTCTACAAGGACAATTTACTGAATTATAATTTGAATCATTAGTGCCAGATTTAGCAGTATTAAAATTACAAATGAAAACTATTATTGTTGCTATGTGCTGCCAAGTCCAAATTAGTCACACTTTATTTTATGGCTGAAACCCTGTTGCTTTGTGGAAGGCA